GTGTGTGTGTTCGTTTATATATGGGATCTGATTTCCTACATTTTTCAACCGATTTCAACAAAACTTCACTTTTTTTGGCAGGTAGTGTTTCTTATTGTCTTGCACACTTTTTTCTTTATTTTTACATTCAGAATGCTTTAAAAATTCCACTTAGACAACAATTGTTTATAATAAAATTCTATTCAATCGGTAGACTCATAACGATTGAAAACAATGTTTTCGTTTGAGTTTGGGTTTGACCAATTCGTAAAAAAAAAAATAAATAAAAATAAAACTAATTACGACATGCGTGTCCGTCAACCTTAAACAATAATCTTTGTCAATTTTATTTTTCAGTCTTTATGATGGTCGATACTTGATCTGTCTCTTACTGTTATATCCCCGGGCAACGCCGGGCTCTACTGAAAGTTTTTGATAATTTACTGTTTTTAGGGAAATGCTTATCAATTATTTTGAAGAATATTTTACCTGTTTTTGTTGTATTGTTGTGGGGAAGAGGCTGAGGCAAATTATATTTTTTCCCTGTTGTTTTTGTTTCAATTGTTTTCTTTTTTGTATTGTAGTTTGTTTGAATATCCGCTTTTACGTTACGTGGGGTGGTTAAAAATTTTGTTGTTAATGTACAGCGTGGTCCGAAAAAATTATCAATCTCTACTAAAAAGTAATGAGAACAAAAGAAGAGAAAGTAATACATTAATACAAATCACATGTACTGGATTCTATTTATTCACTTTCATTGACGCTGCCACACACCGAGGATGTTTGGATGATCACCATCATTTTTCGTGCGCAAAATGATGCAGCGCCATGACCTGTGTGATATTTTACAAATCTGGGCTTCGTTGATTGTTGCAAAGGCTCTCCGAACGGCGTTCCTCAACTGATGGGCAATCTGGTATCGTTCATGGGAAACTCTCCTTCATAATACACCAGAGAGCGTTGAAATAAAAAAATATATATATATATATAGGCGATAAGACATTCAGACCAACCTGCGTATTGGGTTGTTATATATATATATATATATATATATATATATATATATATATATATATATATATATATATATAGAGAGAGAGATAGAGAGAGAGAATAATATTAGAACTGTAAGTGGTAAGGATCTTTAAGTATGTCTTTTTAATTTAAAATATTGTATATTAAAAAGGCCTACTCTCTCTCTATCTTTCTCGCTCTCTCTCTCTCTATATATATATATATATATATATATATATATATATATATATATCGGTTTGATGAATCGGAGAGCTGAGTTCGAATTCCAGTCGGATCCCTTACGTTCACTTGAGATCTAATATCCATGGGAAAGGTATGAATCCTCTTCTTCCCTCCCCCACCGGAGATATGGGTAAATAGCAAGACAGACTAAGTTCTATCCTCTTGGGTGGCAACAGGTCTAGTAGAACTGGCTTGGAGAGGTTTTGGTTCCGTCGGAATATCTTGCCTAAGAAGCACTTCTACTTCTACATAAATTACAAACATTACGTTGGCTTATTTTCATCATAATCCTTTCATATTCTCGAATATTTTTACGTGTACCTATTCATTACTGACATTTTTTTTTAAACGCAACGGCTGCCAATTATACTTTAGCGTTCATTAGAACGTGAAAAGTTATCCAAAATTGAATTCAGTAATGGATAGTGATATATAGTTCTTGCCTTCCCAGTTGCATCCTTAATGATCTAAGAAAAAGGTGGAAAGTACTTGCGAAATAAAAGTGATGTTCACTGTTACAGTGCATTTCTTGCCTCATTTGATTGTAATATACGAAAAAAATATTCGTGAATATGACAGGATTATGTTAAAAATGAGCAGACATAATGCTTGTAATTTATTTAATCAGACATGCCTAAAAGAGAATTTTCTGCATAAATATACAAATTATATATATATATAGTCATCCTTAGAAAGACTGTTTCGCTGTATCACAGCTCATCAGTGTGATTAGACGTCCGGTTGCTTCTCGAAACTCGTCTGAATTGGCGTCAGTGGGAGAATCTACCCCTAAGAGTTTTAAGAAATGCTATATTTATGGGATAAAGTGCTCAATATCAGAGATAGAGCGTATGTAAATATAAAAATGAATATTGAAGTCAGCACTCCGAGGCGACAGACTGTTTCATGCTAAACGATATCATCAGATTCACACACACACACACACACACACACACACACACATATATATATATATATATATGTGTGTGTGTGTGTGTGTATATATATATGGAAAAGGTTATAGTTTTCCATTGAGAGAAAAATGTTTATTTAAAAAGAAGAGAAAAACCGCAAAAGTTTTTGGTTATAATGTGGATTTGTTTTCGTATATATATTATATTAATTTATTTAGTGTATATATTATATTTCATTCTTCATATTTTTGCTACATGTTTCCGGTCTTGTGACTTTCTTCAGGCAAATTAAATGAATCAATTTTTAAAGGAATAAATTTTCTTATGTCCTTTTAATGTTTCAGTGTTCATTTTCTGTATTTGTAATGAGCCATGATCTCTTTTTTTTTTTTTTTTAAATAATAACTTTCTCTCTCTCTCTCTCTCTCTCTCTCTATATATATATATATATATATATATATATATATATATATAACCAAAGAACAGGAAAACCTACCTAGTTTTCATTTAGGTTTCCCTGGCTCTTTATGATTTATTTTAGTTATTCCCGCTCTAATTAGTGTACTGAGGACTCTTCGTTTTAGTCTTACTACTCGCTTGGGCTTTTTTTCTTTTGACTAAAGACTTAAGACACTGGTCAATTTATTTCGCTCTGTTCGGATGATTTTAGTTCTTTCTTTTTTTTATTTCCAATTTTTTTCCTCGGCTACCGACATATCTACAAGTTGAGCTATTTGAGTTTTTTTACCAAACGAGTATTACTATTAGTATATATATTCGTCAGGCCAGATTCTGTCGTGGCCTGACGATTGCATATAGCATGAAACAGCCTGTCGCCTCTAAGTGTTGACTTCTATGTTCACTTTTATATTTACACGCTCTATCTCTGATATTGAGCACTCTATCCTATAAATATAGCACATCTTAAAACTACATTTCTTCATATATATATATATATATATATATATATATATATATATATATATATATATACTTGAATGAGATTCCGGTAAGCTCAGTCCTTAAAATCGAATTGCCTGACCACCTGGATATATAATTTTAGTATAGTGGTGAAAGCGTTTGAAGAACCAGTGTCCCTTTTCAAAAGAATCGAACACAGAGAACTGGCACACATAATATACCATAAGTTCTGTGAACGATTTTCATCAGGTTTTAAATTGAGAGTTCTCAGTGTGTCTTCCTATTCAACGCATGTCTGGTAAAAGAGGTGGATTCATACTTTCCCAATGGATATTTACATGGAGGTGACCATAAAGAATTTGCCAAGAATTAAAACACAGCTTTCTGAGTTCGCATTCCACTAGACCACCGTATACATCTTTTTCATATTTACAGAAATCATTTTTTTTCGCGTTAATTTTTTGAAACACTGATATATTTTACAAAAAAAGAAAAAATTAAATAAAAGTGTACGAGACGCAAATAATATGTACTTTTTTTCATCGTACACACGTTAGTCATTCAGTATACAAGTTCACTACCGAATGTCAGCCGAGAGACTTTCTGCTCGCTCATGCGCACTAAGGTCCTTTCTGATTGGTTTCCAAGATACAGTAATGCTGCGCGGCCAGTCTTGAAGACATTCAAAATGGCTGGATAGCTTCCGGACAGGTTTTGTAATAATAGGCTTGTTTCTTTAATGCATTAAGTCCGATTTGCTCGGATAAAAATGGCTATTTTGACTAATCTTTGCTTCAATCAAATAGAAAAATCGGGAATTTTTTTTTTCTCTGTTCGTTTTTTTTTATTATGTCCATGAAAACAATGAGGATGCAATGATGATATCTTTTCCGCTCTCAACAACAATAACATGAAAAATAAAACAAAAAAAATAGGGAGGGGAATAAATCCTTAAAACGCGCAGTGGAAAAAGACAAAGTGAATTGCGACAACGAGCGAGTACTCGAGATTTTGGAGTTTCTCGTTGTATCGCGATATAATCATTATGTGGAAGAATGACACGAAATAATAAAACAATCGTAATAAAAACGAAGAAGAGTATTCACAATAATAGCCGATGGCTAGGAAATAAAATAAAATAGGTGAAGCAAAATAAACACACCGCCAAGAAAGAGAATGAAAGAATGAATAATAATAATAATAATAATAATAATAATAATAATAATAATAATAATGTAAAAAGAACAAGAAATAACAAATCGAAAATTTAAATACAAGAAAATGAAAAAAAAGAAGAAAACAAAGTGAACAAGGACGAAGTAAAAAGAAAAAAAAGAAAACATAAATTAAAGAAGGTATATGAAGAAGAGAAAAAAAAACGAAGAAGAAAATGATAAGAAGAAGAAGAAGAAGAAGAAGAAGAAGAAGAAAAATAACAGATGAAATAGAAGAAGCCGAGGAGTTGAGAACAAAATGTAACGACAAGGAGAAGAAGAAAAAAAGAATGCGAAAACAAAGAAAAATGATTGCACACAGAAAGGGGGAAAAAACATCTAGAAGTGTCGAACAAGAAAATGAAAAAAAAAGAAAGAAAACGAAGAAGAAGAAAAAGAAATAACAGACGAAGAAATAAAAAGAAAAAAAAGAGATCCAAGTTGAATAAGAAGATCAAAAATAAAAGGAAGAAAGGAAGAAGGAATCAATGAAGACGTAACAGAAAAATGAAAAAGAACAAAGAGACAATGAAAAAGTCTTGAAGAAAATATGACAAATAGAAGAAGAAAAAGAAGACAAAGAAAAAAATTGTTACATGGAAAAAAAAGAAATAAAAGGAGACGAAGGATGTTAAACAAGAAAATGAAAACGAGAAGAAGAAAAAGAGGAAATAACACGATAAAATAAAGAGAAAAGAAAAAATAGAACAAGAATTTAAGAAACGAATGTGCGGAGGTGGAGGAGGAGGAGGAGGAACATGACGATGAAAAGTGAGGAGAAGAAGAAAAAGAAGAGATAAAAGAAGAAGAGAGAGGAAGAGAGAAAAGAAGAAGAGGAAGAGGGAATAATAATAATAATAAGAGAACAAGAAAAAGGAGGGAGAAGAAGAGAGAAGAAGAAAAAGAAAGAAGAAGAAGAGAGAAGAGGAGGAAGAGAGAATAATAATAAAAAAAGAGAGAAGACGAAGAAGAAGAAGAGAGAAGAGAAGGAAGAGAGAATAATAATAAAAAGAAGAGAGAAGAAGAAGAAAATAGAATAAGAAGAGGTGAGAAGAAGAAAAGAAGAAGAAGAGAGAAGAAGAAGAAGAAGAAGAGAGAAGAAGAAGAAGAAGAGAGAAGAAGAAGAAGAGAAAAGAGGAGGAAGAGAGAATAATAATAAAAAGAAGAGAGACGAAGAAGAGAGAATAAAAAGAGGTGAGAAGAAGAAAATAATAAGAAGAAGAGAAAGAAGAAGAAGAAGAAGTAGAACAAGAAGATGAAGAAGAGAGAAGAAGAAAAAGAAAAAGAGAGAAGAAGAGAGAAGGAGGAAGAGAGAATAATTATAAAAAGAAGAGAGAATATGAAGAGGTGAAAAGAAAAAATAAGAAGAAGAAGAAGAAAAAGAAGAAGAAATAGTAGTAGTAGTAATAAAGGTGATACGGCTCAAGATAAAAAATAAAGTAGATGAAAAAGTTAATATGGAAAAAAGTATCGGAAAAATTCTGACGAAAAAAGTGCAAAATGTGGATGATTTTGTTTTGCAATGACAAAGTAAAGGAAGAAATTAAATAAATAGGAGAAGAAAATGAAGGCAAAACAAAGAGGAAATTTTTTAAAAAGAGCAAAAAAGAGACTAACTATTATTAAACAAGAACAACGAGAAGGGGAAATAACACCATGAAATAGAGAGAAAGGAGAAAAAGAATGAAAGAAGAAGAAGACAAAGAAGAAGAAGAAAAAGAAGGACAAAAGAAGATGAAAAGAGAAGATACGGCTCAAGTTAAACAAAAAGTAAAGGAAAAAGGTGTGTTAAGGAATATGTATCAGAAAAATACTGACAAAAAAGTACTAAATGAAAATAACTTTTTTCAAGTGAAAAAAATGAAGGAAATTTAAGGAAGAAAATAAATAATGAAATGACAAAGACATCTCACAAGATTAGTAGCATCAGAAAAAATATATATATATATATATATATATATATATATATATATATATAAGATGTAAAAGTAGGAAAGGATAGAAATAAAAACTCACTAAATTAGAAAAACATAAAAAGGGAAGAAAAAGAAGAGCTCTTTTACCAAAAGAAAATGGTAATCAGAACGAAAAAAAAAACAGCAAAAGAAACGCCATGTTGGAAATAAAGCAAGTGGAAGAATTAAAATTCTTTTCCTTTTTATGATTTTAGGTTTGTTTTTTTTTTTGGTTTTTGTTTTTTTGCACTTAATTTGATGCCCGTTAGCCGAAATAACAAAAAATCGTACTGCCCCGAGTGCTTTTCTCATTTGTGCTATAAACAAAACTCTCCGAAGAAAGCAAGAGAATGTAGTCATCAGAACCTGCAGGGAATTCTTCAGTTGAAGACCAGAAGAAATTCTGATAAGAAAAAGACACCGAGGTAGATTATGATAATATGCAGAATTGCCAAACGACCATTCTTCGAAAAATGAGCCAGCGTCATCGACTAATATCAGTCAGTTATGAGCCATGCATGACACACGCTTAGGTGATCATGCATCGTTCGATACATGACTGACGAGGCAGATTTTTTTTCCCGCAGTAGGATGTCATTTCTTTCTGCGGTAGACCAGTTGCCATCCAAGCCTATAGAACCTGCTATTTACCCACTGTGGTTGGTGGGGAGAAGAAGATTCATGCTTTTCACAGGGGTATTAGCACATAATTGAATGTAATGGATTCGACTGGAATTCGAACTCTACCCTCCGATTCCTTAATCCGAGCTGTTATCCATTGATGCTACTCACCGTGCCTCCTCTGCAACATTAAATATGTATATCTACGCAAAACACAAAAATGCACACACGCACAAACATGCATATATGTGTGTGTGTGTGTGTGCATAGTGCTTAATATTAATAATATAGCTTCGTCTTATTCTTGAGATATGAACATAAAATAAGTAAATATCGCTGAAAACGGTAATACATTATATATATATATATATATATATATATATATATATATAGTCGACTCTCCCGTCGAGTTCGACATATAAGGGTCAAGCAGATCAGTTCCCAGGAAACCGATAGCCCGACAACAGCACATAAGATTTGATTATAGTGGTGAAGGTTTCGTGCAGGACCATCCACACTCTTTGAAGGGCCGAATACAGACACCTGGTGCACTACGTGCCACAAGGTCCCCAAATGACCCTCCGCAGGTTTGAATTCAGAGTTGTCCTTCTCCTAGACCAGTTTCCATCCAAGGCTATAGAACCCAGTCTGTCCTGCTATTTACCCATAGCTGGAGGGAGAAGAAGAGGATTCACACCTTTCCCAAGGGTATTAGCACATAAATGAATGTAATGGATTCGACTGGAATTCGAACTCGGCACTCCAATTCCTAAATACAAGCCACTATCCATTGCTTTACCATATATATATATATATATATATATATATATATATATATATATATATATATATATATATATATATATATATATATATATATATATATATATATAATAATGTGTGTGTGTGTGTGTGTGTTTTGTAATATATTTCACATAATGGACTATGCTGTCTTGCTTTGGATGGGAATCAATGTAGGAAGAAGAAAACTCCGAATTCAAACCCTGCCTCCTGTTTAAGTGGATGAACTCTCCTTAGGCCCTGACATTACTACGGAGCGGTTAAACTGTGGATGGCTTCTAGGAGACTTCGTGGCAAATTGTGCCTATTATCCCAGCAAACAGTTCTAAAAATCGTGGCTGGTTCCACGCAATATTGCAATAATTTAATCAAATTAGTTGTGCAGTTATCTATACTTTTCATTTGAGACGTGTTTTAAATGCTATTAGGTCAGTTGCAAGTATTAAAATTCGGGTCATTTATATCCATTATTTTAAACGAGACTTCGAAGAGTCTGAAGCTATTCACAGGAAGCAAGTGCCAAGAGGAAACTATCATAAAGAAGAAATTAAAGAATAAAAATGAAGATATTGTTTCTTGGTTATTTTTGTTTAGTAGTATATCAACATCTATGGGCTATTTAATGCAGAAACTAAAAAAAATATTTGTATGTACTTTTATTTTAATAATTTGGAGATAGTAATGGTTTTAGTAATACAAATCTTAATATTTAACCAATAGCTGGGGGATGAAGTGGATCCATACGTTTCCCAATGGTACGCGTAAGGGAATATACCGAACACAACTGAAATTGTAACTCGGTTCTCCGATTAACAATTCCGGGCCATTATCCATTACGCCAAACGCACATCCTATTTTTACAGCACCTAGTGTTCTCAATCAGTTACCCATCTAGATACTGACCAGGCTCGACGTTGCTAAACTTTGATGATCGAACGGGAAGCGTTGTTTCAACGTGATGTGGCCGTAAGCCTAAGAAGAAGATGAAAAGATAAAAGATGATGATGATGATGATGATGATGAGAAAGAAGAAGAAGTAGAAGAAAAAGAAGAAGAAAAGGAAGATGATGATGATGGTGAGAAAGAAGAAGAAGTAGAAGAAAAAGAAGAGGAAAAGGAAGATGATGATGATGAGAAAGAAGAAGAAGAAGAAGATAAAAAGGAAGAAAAAAAAACAACAAAAAACAAGAAGATGAACAGGAAGATGGTGATGATGATAAAGAAGTAGAAGAAGAAAAGGAAGATGATGATGATGACAAAGAAGATGATGGTGATGATGATGAAGAACGAGATGAAAAGGAAGAAGAATACGATGATAATGGTGAGAAAGTAGAAGGGGAGATGAAAAGGAAGAAGAAGACGATGATGATGGTGAGAAAGAAGAAGAAGAAGAAGAAGAAGAAGAAGAAGAAGAACTCGCTAAAACTATTCACAGAATTCGAAAATAAAAGGAATTTTTGTACGGCTGTTTACCTAATACAATGCCCAAGAGCCACTTAAGGTAGAGTAGCTTTTTGAAAGTCGATAACGGTTTATCCTAAATCCTGTTGATATTAAGATTGGGAAAATGCCTCAATATATAATCGCACAGTCCAATACATTTTTTAAACGTTTTAAGCCTGTTCAGTTTAATTTATCCCGGGAATGGACGAGCAAAAGACAAGTTTATTTTCCTGATATAAAACACAATGTTGAAGAAACCCCATACCAACAACGCGAACATGTAAACATTAAATTCCTAAACAAATATGAAAATTCGTTTACACCCACTCTTTCGTCAGCTGTATTAACTTCAGTGTCACCATGTTTTATAAACTTTTTTTTTTTTAATAAACTTTTCACTTCAAACAAGGCGATAATGCAACGTGGACTCCAGGGGTTACTGAGTATGAAAGAGAATGGGGGGAACCTTTAGGAGGGAGAAAGGACAATAAGGGACAGATTTCCGGAAGACAGAAAGATGTCGATTGACGTTGCATTTAACTTTTTGAAAATACTCTCAAGTTAGAAAGCAAGAAACCGTCAGAAAGTTCCACAGGCGGGAAAAGAAACTATTAAAATAGGACTTACGTTTACGTCTTGCTATTTCAACATTAAATAGATGACGAGACCTAACTGCCAATCGAGGAATACGCTTAAATACTCGCGGTCGAAGTACTGAGGGGAAAAGCTCATTGGAACAACTAGCATGAACATATTTATAGAAAAGACAGAGGGAAGCCATGTCGTGTATGCAAACTTCGATTTCAAAGACAATATTTGTGATACTGAAACTGCCTTATCTTGTACGTATGTATATATGTATATATGTATGTATGCATGTATATCGGGTGTAACTGCAAAATTGTCCAAATCGTGTAGGAACATTGGATAACTGTCCATGCTGCAAAATGTTTAATATCTAAAAACTGCTAGTTTACTTTTGCAGCTTTTTCATATAAGACGTTTATCCATCTTGACACAATTTGTCGTAAGAATCACTAAAAAAACACTTTGAGGTATTCATCTCGAAAAATAACAGGTTAAATTTGTTTTGTCAGCCCCACTATGTCTTCCCAACTGAGCAATGGTGAGAGGAAAAAGATCATTCAGGCTTCCAGTAACGGTATACTCTTATACACTGGCTTCCATTTTGAAACTCCATTCAAGAACCATCAAGAGAACAGTGAATAATTAAAAAAAAAATGTGAGAACAGTAGAGAGGAAAACTGTATCAGGAGGTCACAACAGGAAGAGAGATCATCATTTCAACTTAGAGCTAAATAGAGCAATTAGAAAAGATCCAACTCTATCCATAAGACGATAGACACGCTAGAAAGAAATTTCCGCTATGACAGTTCAAAGATCAGTGAAAAAAGACTTGAAAATGCAATCGGACGTGAAACTTGTGACGCAACTTGCTACTCCAGGACAAAAAGTTAGAAGGTTAGAGAGATTGAAGGTCATATTCAATAAGTTGAAAATGAGCCTGAAATATTATATATATATATATATATATATATATATATATATATATTTGGTTGGATAGATGTGAATTTGTGACCCTGGGTTTCACGCTTTAGCGATCGTCAGACAATATATATATATATATATATATATATATATAAAAGAAATATGTTGTAGTGGTTCCAACGAGAGAAAACTATGTATATTAAAAAGAAGAGAAGAGGTGCCGCAAACGTTTTTTTTGGTTGTAATGTGGATTTATTTAGAAAAATATATTATGCTTTGTTTTACATAATTTTACGACACGTGTTTCTCGTCTCGCGACCGTCTTCAGGTAAAAGTGGAGATTTCCACATATTATTAAAAATTTTTTATTAATAATAATTTTTCCTTATGTTCAATGTTAAATATTCTCGATATGAGACATTCTCTGTTTGTGTGTGTATATATATATATATATATATATATATATATATATATATATATATATATATATATATATATATATATATATATATATATATATATATATGAGTACCGCTGCGGAATTGTGTGAGTATCGAGTATTGTGTACCGAATCCCATG